GGGTAACAGAATGAGACCTCCAACTCAAAGATAAACAAACAAACAATGACATCAAAAAGAACTAATGTCACCAAAGAGGTAAAAGGCATAAAATAAAAATTACACAGGCCAGGCAAGGTGACTTATGCCTGTAATCTCAGCAATTTGGAAGGCCAAGGTGGGAGAAGGACTGCTTGAGACCAAGAGTTTGAGACCAGCCTGAGCAACCTAGTGAAACTTTGTCTCTACAAAAGTAAAATAAAATAAAATAAAATAATTAGCTAGGTGTGGTGGTACACACCCGTAGTCCAGCTTCTCTAGAGGTTGAGATGAAGTTATGCCTGAGTCTAACAGGTTAAGGCAGTGGTGAGCTGAAACCATGCCACGGCACACCAGTCTGGGCAACAGAGCAGGGCGCCTACTCAAACAACAACAAAAACTACACAACATTGTCAAAAGAAATTAAAGAAGACATAAATAAATGGAAACACATTCTGTGTTCATAAACTGGAACACTTAATATTGTTAAAATGTCATTACTCCCTAAAATGACCTACAGATTCAATGTAATACCTATTAAAACTCCAATGACTTTTCACAGAAATAAAAAACCCATCCTAAAATTCATATGGAATCTCAAGGAATGCCAAACAGCCAAAACAATCTTGAAAATCTTGAAAAAGAACAAAGCTCGAGGACTCATAATTCTTAATTTCAAAACTTAACTACAAAGCAATAGTATCCCGCGCCTTTGGGAGACTGAGGTGAGTAGATTGCCTGAGCCCGCGGGTTCGAGACCTACCTGGGCAGCAAGACCTCATCTCTACAATAAATCAAAACATTAGCTGGGCATGGTGGCATGTGCCTGTAGTTCCAGCTACTTGGAAGACTAAGGCAGAGGGATCATGAGCGTGCCACTGCACTACAGCCTGGGCGACAGAGTGAGACTACGACTCAAAAAAAAAAAGAATACAGTCCAGAAATAGAACCTCTCATATATGAGCAAATGATTTTTAACAAAGGAGCCTAGACCACTCAATGAGAAAAGATTGTCTTTTCAAAAGACGGTGGGGGGAAAATTGGATATCCACATGCAAAAGAATGAAGTTGGACGCTTACCTAACACTATATACAAAAATTAACTCAAAATGAATCAAAGATCTAAATGTAAGACCATGAAATTTTTTTGTTTTGTTTTGAGTTGGAGTCTTACTCTGTCACCCAAGTTGGAGGGCAGTGGCATGCTCCTAGCCACTGCAGGCTCGACCTGCTGGGCTCAGTCTTCCAAGTAGCTGGAACTACAGGTATGCGCCACCAAGACCGGCTAGTTTTTTTATTTATTGTAGCGATGAGGTCCCACCAAGTCGCCCAGGCTGGTCTTGAATCCATGGGCCCAGGCAGTCCTCTCACCTCAGCCTCCCAAAGTGCTGGGATTATAGGCATGAGCCACCATGCCCAGCCCATAAAACTCTTAGAAGAAAACGAAAGGCAAATGATTTCTTGGCTCTGACACCAAAACCACAAACAATAACAACAAATAGACAAATTGACCTGCATAAAAATTTTAAAATGTTGTGCATCAAAAGATAGTATCAACAGAGTAGAAAGGCAACTCACAGTCATGGAAAACAATTTTTGTAGATCATATGTCTGAGAAAGAATTAATATCTAGAATACGTAGAAAACTTCTAACTCAATAACAACAAAAAAATCCAATTGAAAATGGACTCAAATGGCTATTTCTCCAGAGAATATAGAAATGGCCAGTGAGCACATGAAAAGATGATCAACATCCATCATCGTAAAAATGAGCAGGGTGTGGTGGTGCATGCCTGTAGTTCCAGCTACTTGGAAGGCTCAGGCAAAAGGATCACCTCAGCCCAGGTGGAGGCTGTGGTGGCTATGAGCATGGCCTGGGCAACAGAGCGAGACTTTAACAGCACTTTGGGAGGCCATGGTGGGAGGAAATCCAGACATTTTATAACATGGATGAACCTTGAGGACAGTATGCTAAGTGAAATAAGCACAAGCACAAAAAGACACTGTCTTATGGCTCTTTTTTTTTTTTGAGTCGGAGTCTCACTCTGTCGCCCAGACTGGAGTGCAGTGGCTCACTCATGGCCACCGCAGCCTCGACCTGCTGGGCTCCGGCAATCCTTCCGCCTCAGCCTTCCAAGTAGCTGGAAAGACAGGCACACGTCACCTGGCTAATTTTTGCGATTTATTGTAGAGATGGGGTCTCACCCAGTTGCCCGGGTGGGTCTCAAACCCGCAGGCTCAGGCAATCCACACGCCTTGGCCTCCCAAAGTGCTGGGACTTCAGGCTGAGCCACCAAGTCCAGCATGGCTCTAGTATATGAGGTACTCAGAACACTCAAAATCATAGACAGAGGAATTGTCAGGGGTTGAGAGGCTTTATTAATATGTACAGCATCAGTTTTTCATGATGTAAAGAGTTACGGAGATGGATGGTGGTGATGATTGCAGAATATTACTTATGTATTTCATATCACTGAACTTTATACTTAAAAATAGTAAAGATGGCAAATTCTATGGGTATTTGAAAACAACTCGTAAAAACAGGAAATAATGTGGGAAGTGGTTAGGAAGGGGATCGGAAAGAAAGGAGCTAGGTCATGTAGGGGTCTACAAACTTTAACCTGTGGGTCAAATCTGGCCCTTGTACTGCCAAAAAAACAATAATTGTTAGTCAGGCCAAAGAATTGCCTGACTAGTCAAGTGCAGTAGGGTTCAAGACCAGCCTGGGCAACACGACAAGACCTCATCTCTGTAATAAATCAAAAATACCCAGGTGTGGTGGCGCATGCCTGTGGTTCCAGCTACTTGGAAGACTGAGGCAGAAGGATCGCCTGAGCCCAGCAGGTTGAAGCTGCGGTGGCCGTGAGCATGCCACTCCAGCCTGGGAGGCACTCCAGCCTGGGAGGCAGAGTGAGACTCCAACTCAAGAAAAAAGGAGAAAAGGCTAATCTAAAAAGAAAAAATTTAGATACAGATGTATCTTTATACTAAAGTTTTGTAAATATTAGACACAACCAAAGCACTTTTAATTGGTAATAAAGTAAAAGAAATCACTTCTAAGCAAGGCTAAACATCAAGTTCAAGATAATAGTTAACGGTAGATGGAGGAAAAGGAATAGTGAGGGGTACACAGGGATCTCCAACTGTTATGATTGTTTTCTTTCTTAAACAAGGTTATGGATACACAAATGTTTGTCATATTGTTCTTTATAGCTTTTTATAAGTCTGAAATATTTCATAACTAACAATAATAAAAGAAATAAAAGCTCACAGAAAAGGTAATATTGCCTGGTTTTGTTTTGTTTTTTTTGAGTTGGTGTCTCACTCTTTCACCCAGGTTGGGGTGCAGGGCACGCTCACAGCCACCTCAGCCTCAAACTGCTGGGCTCAGGAGATCCCTCCGCCTCAACCTTCCAATAGCTGGAACCACAGGTGAGCGCCACTACGCCCAGCTAATTTTTTGATTTATTGTAGAGACAAGGTCTCGCCAAGTTGCCCAGACTGGTTCTGAACCCCTGGGTTCAGACAATCCTCTCACCTCGGCCTCCCAAAGTGCTGGGATTACAGGGGTGAGCCACAGCATCTGGCTGGTTTTATTAAATAACTCAAATAACTTATAAATTGACAATTGTTATATGTACTTGTTTTCTTGATACACTTGTTTTCTTGAAAATCTTCAAAAATAATTAACTACTAACAGAAATCCCAGACTACAATCAGTAAAGTGACATTGGTTAGACTTAAGGTTCCTACCAAATTTTTTTCAGGCACCTAGTTTAGAAACCTGAGAGTCAACAATATTCTTCTTTAATTCCTTAAAGACAGAGTCTGACTATGTTGCCCTGGCTGGTCTCAAACTCTTGGGCTCAAGCAATCCTACCACCTTTGCCTCCCAAAATGCTAGGATTACAGGAGTGAACCACCTCGCCCAGCGAGAGTCATACCTATGGTTCAAGTCACCAGAGCTGAATAAACAATAATCTAAGCAAGTCTGTTGATACAACTTTTTAAAAAATAGCCTTTTAATTTTAGAATACTTCTGGATGTAAAGAAACATTGCAACAGCAACTTTTCACAACAGCCACAAAAACAGACACACAAAACACACATACATCAGTAAACTGTGGAGGGTCTCTGTAAGGTCGAATAAGTCAATCTCTAATTAAACAGCAGTTTCTACGAGCATGGGCTTTCTCTATTAGCTCATTTTAAAACTGAGAAGTTATTTGGAATCCAGTCAAGGGAGAGTTGAACACCCCTCCACATGCCTTCATTCGGAAAAAATCTTTTTGTTCTGTGAGCAAACAGGCAGACATGAGGGAATGCCAAGCTGCAGCATAACCATATACCTACACTAGCTCAGGCTGTCTTTTAAAAACATACTCACTTTATAACTTAGTTTTTAATTTTTTTTTAAAGACTAGTCAAGTGCAGTAGCGAGAAGGAGGAAAGAGTAGAAGAACAAGGAGTTCAATCTGTAATTGACTGTGAACAACCAACTGAGTTAACTCACTACCTTCGGACCAGTCAGTTTTTAATGTTTAAATAGAGATGTTTCCTTGTGCAGTGGTGACGAATACCGCACCAGAACAGTTAGAAAGCAGGTGCTTTTTAAAGAGATGGTGATGCCGATGTAAGTGCTAAACCATCCGCAAAGTAGATACGCAGCCTTATTTCCAAACTCACCAACCACATAAAGCAGCGTATAAAAGCGACACGTAAAATCTTGATCGACAACTGTTCCGCACTTTCCAGTAAAGCTCAATCTAATCCTCTTTCTGAAGAGCAGCTTAACTATAACCTCTAGTGCAAACATCCTTTTTTCTCCCGAAAAACGGACACTGATTTGCTCTTCCCAGCAACCTGGTGTCCTTTACAAACAGAACGCGGAGGGAAATGCCAACAAGATCCCTCTCCCGGGACCGCGGAGGGAGCCCTGCAGCAAAGCCCCGAGGTTCACAACCCTGCCAGCCCGCTCCTACCTGCATCTCACCACCACCTGGATGTTCTTCCCCTTCTCCTCCTTCTTCTTCGCACAGCTGTTTGGCTGGGACGCCATGACTGTCCCTGCCACAAAAAAAAAAAAAAAAAAAAAAAAAAAAAATCAAGGCCTGGCCGCGGACTCAGGCGCCGCCGGGCGCGGAGACGCTGGGCGGCCGACCCGCCTGAATTCCCACCTTCCCTGCCGGGGGTTGGCGTGGCCTGAAGGACCGACGCGCGCGGCTCGGCGTCCCCGCTGTCCACCTGGGACTCTGAGAGGCCGTGGCGTCCGCCTCGCACCCGCCGGAGCCGAGTTGCTAATCTCGTTTCCGCCCAAACCCTAGAAACCGAGCAACGACTCGGCGCCTTAATTTGAAAAAGGAGCCGAATCGTCCGGCCAATGGCGGCGCAGGCGCGCGAGGCACTATGGGAACTCGAGGTGTCGTCACCAGAGCCCCGCCCCCGGGGCGGGGCCCGCGGGAAAGTAAAAAGCTGGTCTGTCCGCACGGTCCGGAACCCCGTAGTGCGGCGTGAGAGACGCGGGGGCGGCGTGTGACCCTCCAGCGCGTGGCCTGGCTCCGGTTACATAACATTCCTCCTCTGCACAAAGGACATAATAGCAAACGGGTCGGAACATATAATAAAGCGCCCAGGGACGGCCGGCCGGGGCTATAATTAAAGAATTGTAAGAGAGCGCTTTGGAAGCACAGTCCTGAGGTCCAAGGCGAGCCGCCTTCCCGGAGGCACAGTCCAGAATATTCTTGAAGAATAACTCGCAAGTGTTCAGAGATTAGGCTGCCACGAGTTCCAGACCGCGAGGAAATGCACGCTCAATGTCATATGAAGGACTCTGAGTTTGCCCTTCAGCTCAAGGGAAGTCGCCATCGCCCAACCACCTCGAGCAAGGCAGCGAAGCCAGGCGCGGCCTCGGAACGTCTGCGCGGCAGGCACCGCCGCAGGCCGCCGGCGCGCTCGCGGGCGTGTGCGTGGCGCGGCTTCCGCGGGTCTCCAGGGGGTCACGCCGGCTCCCGCCGCCGCGGCCTACAACTCCCAGCATGCAGCGCTCCCGGGTCCGCCGGCCATCGTGACCTCGGGCTTTCCGTGGGCGCGCGGGCGGTGTCTGGGCGGCGCTTGGGCCGACTCGCCCCCTTAAAGGTGCGGCTTGCGAGCCTAGGAAATAATGAATTCGGTTCCTGGAACTGCGCTTCTTAGTCACGCTTAACCTATAGGATGCTGAGTGTCGTTTGGGTGTCTTAAGTAACGGCCCGGTGCGGGAAAGCTCCGATGCCCCCGTCCTGGCCCTCCACGCCTTAAACCCCGTGCATCCATCCGGCAAGGAAATGTCTGCAGCTCAGGCCGCTGGTCATCTCCCGTCTGTGTCAGCTGTCTGTTGATGGCTCCTCTTCGATGGCTCACCAGCATCTCAGAATGGACCTGTCCACCCTAATCTTTCTGATCTGGACGTTTGGCGCTTGCCAGACACGTCTAGTGCCGTCCGGTTGGTTTTATCTCCTCTACGATCACTAGTCCATGGCCCTTATCTGTTCTCTGAACAACTGTCACCTACCTCAAGTTTCACTTCTCTTTTCTCCTCCTCCATTGACTCAGCAGGGGATGTATCTTTCAAAAACATCATGCCCTTCGATCTGCTTTTAATCTTACACTTGCTTCTCATACGTGTTTGGAATGAAATCCAAACTCGTTACCATGCCCTATAAAGTCCTTCTGATCTGGTCCTTACCTATAACATCAACTAGTCCCTGTGCACATGTCTCATAACCGTGCTTCAGAGCTTGTAAGCGTTTTCATTTTCAGGCCTTTCTACAATCTGATGTACCCTCTGCCTCGAACTCTTTGTATGACTCTTTGCATGGCTTCCCCATTCTCCTCCTCAGATCTCAGCTCCACTTTCTCTTTAAGAAAGGCCTTTCCACGGAAGGATCCCCAGAGCCCAAGAGGTCGACCCTGGGGTGGCCGTGAGCATGCCACTGCCCTCCAGCCTGAGCGACAGAGTGAGACTCCAACTCAAAAAAAAGAAAGCAAGAAAGGCCTTTCCTGACCACCTTAAAGCACATTCCTCTTATAATCTTCGATCTAAAAACTCTATTTCCTTCATAACACTACAGTCTGTGATTACACTGTCAAAGTATTCTCCGTCTCCCTGGAAAGAACTTAAGTTTCATCAAGGATGCTGTCTTTGTTTTCAATATTGTTTTCCCAGTGTCTGACCAGAGCCTTACACAAAGTAGTCGCTCAATAAATATATATTGCTGGGCTCGGAGGCTCAGCCTGTAATCCCAGCACTTTGGGAGGCCGAGGTGAGTGGATTGCCTGAGCCCGCGGGTTCGAGACCTGCCTGGGCAAGTTGGTGAGACCTCATCTCTACAATAAATCAAAAATTAGCCGGTCATGGTAGCATGCGCCTGTAGTTCCGGCCACTTGGAAGGCTGAGGTGGAAGGATCACCGGAGCCCAGGAAGTCAACACTGGGGTGGCTATGAGCGTGCTGCTACACTCCAGCCTGGGCGACGGAGTGAGACTCCAACTCAAAACAAAACAAAAAAAACTCTAAGAAAAGCTTCTGTCTTCTAAATATGATCATGCCCCGCCTGCTCTGGCTTGAGCAGGGACGATCCTAACATCATATCCGATATCAGAGGAGGTGGGCTTTACCCTGAACATACCACAGAGTCGCCCTCTCTCCTTCCCCCACCTCTTGAACTCAGTGCAACCGGGCTCTTTTCACCACTTCACCTTGATAAGCCTCTTTACCTGTGGAATCAGCCACCAGATCCTGATTTAGAAGGAGAAAGGAAAGGAAAGGTGGAACTGCTCTCATATGAAAGTCAGGCACATTTGAGATTATTTTGTTGAGAGGAATACATAAGAAGCAGCAAAATGGGGAGGGGGAGGAGAACTGGGAGAAGACGGATCACAGGGAGGAAAGAGATAACCTGAGAAGGCGGCGATAAAGACTGGGCACAGTGGTGCACGCCTGTCATCTAGCACTTTGGGAGGCCAAGCCAAGCGGATTGCTTGAACCCAGGAGTTGTAGACCAGCTTAGGCAATATAGTAAGACCTTGTCTTTACGAAAATCAAAAAGTTAGGCAAGTGTGGTGGTGTGCACCTATAGTCCCAGCTAATTGGGAGACCTGAGCCTAGGGGGTCGAGGCTGCAGTGAGCTGGGTGATCTTGCCACTGCACTCCAGCCTGGGTGACAGAGACCCCAACTCAAACAAACAAACAAAAAATTGTAACAAAAGAAGAAAGAAAATGGCAGTAGACAAGACTCAGCCAGTGAGCAACCTCCTTGAGGCAGGGACTATTTTTAGAAACAGCCATCTTAATATCTCAGCCTCATGCTGTTGTCTCCACTGAATTCAAATCTCACGCAGCAACCCCAAACACTCAAGCAAGTTGTGCGATGCAGCAGCCTGACATGAGGGCTACTTATGGGGATAGACAGGCACGGGAGCACTGCTGGCCACCTTGACTGGGAAGGAAGACAGGAGTTACGGGGATAAGGGCTGGGAGCAGGAAGCCAGCTTTAACTTGCACAAAACTGCCTTTGTGAATGACCAAAAAGGCATGGCGTTGGGAAGCCTTCCTCTCCCAAATCACAGATGCTCTGACACCTTCCTGTGTCAGTAAGAATGGAAGGGCCCAATCCTGCCTGGGAGATCTGAGGTCTCTTTGACACAGAGAAGCAGCCTAGAATTCCAAGCCAGGTGCAGAGCTTCGGATAAGGGGTTCTGGGGCACCTTAGTCCACATTCCTCTTAACCCTGTAGTTGCCATGGAAACGGAGCCCTGAGCCAGCTCCCAGCCCGGACTGATGTTGATTCCTTTACACACAGCCCTGCTTTCCTTCGCAGCCATCGAAACACTACTTCGATTGAATTTTGGCTAAACCCCATTCTGTCCCCAAGTCCTGGAATAACCTGGCATTTTTCTTTG